CACTGCGGGCCACCGGCCGCCAAAGGAGAAACATTTGGTCCGGCCGTGGCCCAGCCACAGGAGGATTTCCTCTCGCCCGCCCACGCAGCTTCGCCTCGCCCGCACGCACGCACGGCACGCACGACACGAACCCGAAACCGAAATCGATTTCCCGGTAAGGGTGGTCTCCGTTTCACGTCGGACTCACCCCCCAACCTCCGATAACATCATCAAAAATCACTACTGGAACCCTGGACCCCATCTTTCTGCGTCATCTGTCGAACCAGAACGATCTGCGAGGGTCTTGGGACCCGAAGTGGGGCGAAGACGCCAGGGGTGAAACAATTACAGCGCCCAGGTCTGAGGGCTGTCCCCGGGGCCGACTCCTCATCACGAGCCGTTGTTTGACGGTCCCGTGGCCTGGCGAGTGCACCCAGAGGCTGAAAAAGGCCCCCATAAATTGCCTCGCGACTTCTTCACGTCGCGGGCACGTCTGGGTCCTCCGCCTTCTCAAGACACCGCCACGAGCCGTTGCTTGACGGCCCCGGGGCCCGGCGAAGGCCCCCATGGGACTCCGAAAAAGGCCGAGCAGTTTCCGTCGTGACTTCTTCACTGACGTCCTACCAGACCACCCTAACCCAACCCGAAGACCCGAATTTCGGGTTGGCGGGGTGGCACGGGTTCCACATGCGTTTTCGCGATGCTCCCCGACCCCCACCCCCTGGAAATGGAGGGCAAATTGAAGCCTTCGGGTTGGGTTGGGGTTGGGGTGGTTGGGTGGGTGGCGATTCACGACGCGAGCATGCCTGGGCCCTCAGCATTCTTAAATGAGGCGGCCTCCCTCGCACCACCGCCCTCCGAGAGCCCACACTGCCACAAACAGATACACATCGCGAGGAATCACGACCGAAGCCCTCTAGACCCCATATCTTTCCCAACAACTTTCGGGCCAGATCGATCTGGTTATGGCCCCAAAACCCAAAACAGTGCGGAATCGCCTGGTACGACAGAAAATCTACGCCTGAGTACCTACCAAAACACCCCAACCCAACCCGAAGTCACCGTTGGGCCCGTAAATTTACGGTGGGGGGGGCACTCCAGAACATCGAAGGAACACGATGGGACCCGTACGCCCCGCAACCCGACAAGTCGATGTGTGTCTGGAACCTTCGGGTTAGGTTGGGTGGCTTGGTAAGTAGTAAGCGCCAAGATCCCACGGCTGTGCGCGCCGCCGATTGGACGACGGCGGCGGCGAACGCCCGTCAGCCGCCAGGGGCCAAAAACGGCCAAACACTTCCATCGTGATTCGTTCACTACGCTAGCACGTCTTGCTTTCGGGCCACACGGTCGGACCGAAGACTGAAGAACATCCTTCGCGAACATGAGACCCGTTGGCCAAACTGAAGACCATTCGAGGGTGCCGCCCCCCAGGAGACATAAGAACATCCAACAGACACGAAAAAGATTAAGACACCCTCCCTTAACATACATCGATCGTGTACCTCTCGGTCAGACCGTAATGCAAGCCTGCGGCGGCCATTCGAGACGATCCGGCCACCCCTGGAACGCACGCGATCAGAAAGAAAGCAGCGCCAAGAAACAGGGCATCGAGACCAGGATGGGCTTGAAACCTCGCCGAATGTGCGGGCGCAATGCCCCGGACCCGGACATCGGGAAGGTCGCGCAGAGCAGATCGCTTCGCTCCCCCAAGCAGGGGGGGGGAAAGGGGGGAGGAACAGGAAGGGGAGGGGAAGGGCGGCAGCAGCAGCAACGGGGCAGAGAGACAGGGGGGGGCGCGAGGCGCGCAGGGGGGGGCAGAAGCAGCAACGGCAGCCCCGCGGCAATCCTCGCGAGAGCGACGAAGCAAAGAACATCGCTGGGAAACGCGATCTCCCCAACTGACGGGAAGAGGGGTCCGCGTGCGAGCGCTGGCCGGAGGAAGAAAGGGGCGACGACAGAAAATGAGGCCAGGTGGCAACTTCTGCGCCGCGGGCTTTGCGTAGTACACACAGGCATGCACAGACACGGAGAAGAGAAGGAGGAGGAGGAGGAGGCGGAGGAGGAGAAGGCGGAGGAGGAGGAGAAGCCAGAGAAGGAGAAGGCGGAGGAAGAGGAGGAGGCGGAGGAGGAGGTGGAGAAGAAGGCGGAGGAGGAGGAGGAGGAGGTGGAGGGAGGAGGAAAAGCCACGCCTACAAGAAACCCTCATCTTCCTCAGCGAGGACGTCCCAGGCCGCTGCGGCCGCTCCCCAAGCAAGGACCTCCTCCGCGTGCCGCTGGAGGATGGCGCGGGCGGGCGCCCTCCGGATAAGTACCGACAGCTGATGAAAGAGACGCGTCGCTCCAGCGCCCGGCTCCTCGCCCAGGCGCGCGCCGCTGGCCCTTGCTCGGCGGCGGAGCCTCGCGGCCCCCGTCGGGCCCCAGCCGCCCGTAGGCTCTGCGACCGAAGGGATGAGGAGGATCCCCTGTTGCCTGCAGAGAGCCTCCGTGTCGACGTGGGTGCGCTTGCCCACTTCGTACGCGCTTGCGGCGCATCCACTCCCATGGAAAGCCAGCCCCTGGGCAGCCTACCAGCGCGGTGAGGAGACCGCGAAGTCGAAGGCGGCAGGCGCACCCAGGTGCCAGCTCGGGATGTACACGTCGGCGGGGCGACGGCCGATGGCGCGGTCGTCGTCCGGGCGCGACGGCACAAACCCCGGTCTCTCCAGCCGTGGGTTGTAGCCGGCTGCGGCGGCGAATCGGCCAACCAAGTTGCGCGCGGCGCCGACACCCCCGGTTTCCCGCGCCAGCGCAAATGCCTGCGTGGCGCTCGCGTGCGTCGCACAGCTCCCCACAGCAAGGGCAGAAGTGGTCCGCGTCGTAGACCTGCAGCAGGAGCCGCCTCCGCAGCTCGGTGAGGAACTCCTCTGGCTCGAAGAGCAAACCCAACTTCTCGTTGGGCGCGACCTCCAGGAAGCCCGACGCGCCAAGGAGCAGATCTGACAGGATGTCCGCGCGGCCAGCTGCCCCGAGGTTCTCGGCGAAGTGTCGACGCCAGCACTCCTCGAGCGCGGCAGAGAAGTCCTTCTGCTTCGCCGCCTCGACAGCGCTGAAGCGCAGGCCGGCAGACTGTGCTTGCGTGCTCTGGCGCCAAGCTGTACGCCGAGTCCGGCTCCGAGCAGAGGCGCCGAGGCTGGCCATGTGTCTCCAGCCGCCGCAGGCCCAGTCCAGCGCACGCCAGTCCCTGGGAGGCCTGGTGCCACCGGGCGTCCGTCAAGTCCGCGGCCAGCAGGCCCCCAACGCCGCCCGCTGCGCGGCGTCGAAGTCTCGCGGAGGGCGCCGGCCTGCTGCTCTGGCAGCGCGGGTGCGTGCGCTGCAGACGAGCCTGGCAGAGCTCGCGCAGTGCCACAGCAGCAGAGGGGGCCACCCGTGGCCGCAGGGCTTCCAGCGCCGCAAGGTCGGCCCCGCCTTGGCGGCGCGTCGCTCTGTGAAGGCCTCCGTGAAAGCCTGGTCCCCCATCGGTGCGCCGAAAGCCAGGCGCCGCCACGCAGGACTGCTCGGTTGGTGCCACTGCCAGGGTCCGTCCGCAGCGGCGCAGAGAGGAGTCGGTCCAGGCCGTCCGGCGCCTGCCCACCTGGGACCACGAGCTCGCAGGTCGGGCATGTCCTCCTACAGGCGGGTTTTTGAAGGACAGATGAAAAATAGTCGAAACATATTCCAAAATTGCCAAAACATCATCGACAAATCGTCCCCATACTATTTGTTGATAACAATGTTTGATCTTCCTCCTGTAGAGGAAGATGCCCGACTTAGCACTTGCCCAGGCTTAGTGCAGGCCCTAGCGCTGGGCAGCGGAGTGGCAGGGCAGCGAGCGCTCGCGCCACCGCCTCCGCTGCGCCTGCCGAGAAGCTGCAGTCCAGGTAGAAGGCTTCGAGGTCCAACCATGAGGTCGAGCATGTCCTCCTACAGGCAATGTTTGAAAGAAAATTCCAAATACACTAAAAATACTCCCAAGTAGTCAGAAAGAATCTAAAAATCGTCCCCTGACTATTTTTGGAATATGTTTGGAGATTCCTCCTGTAGAGGAAACTGACCGACTCAATCCAACCACCAGAACGCCCTTTGCGAGGCGCAGCCGCTGGAATGCATCCCGAGGCAGGGTAACCTCAAGAAACTAGAAGAAAACAAACCTACCTCGCTTTGGACCACCCTCGCTTCCAAGAGATACAAACTACGGCCTGTATTGGTCGGGCCGCTTGACGAGGAGGTGCGTGGTATGACTTGGTTTTGCCTGGAAGCGAAAGCGGGGTAGGTAATTCACGTTCTGAGAAACTGACGAAACGTCCGACAACCGACCCTGAGATCCGACAGTGGCGACACTTCGCGGCTGGCGGCAGGGTGATCTCCAGGAGCCGAGGGGAACATCCGAAAACCGACGGACACCTAAAGGGATCCGGGGAGAATGTGCAAAAATCCAGAGAAGGAGGACGAGGTAGAGGAGGAGGAGGAGGAGGAGGAGGAGGAGGAGGAAGAGGTAGAGGAGGAGGAGGAGGAAGAGGAGGAGAAGGAGGAGGAGGAGGAGGAGCAGGACGAGGACGAGGACGGGGACGGGGACGAGGAGGCCCGCCCCTTCTCGCGCCCCCCCGTGGAAGAACCGGACAAACGCCCGTGGAGTCTCGGCACGCCGCGAGCACGTCTGCTGGGGCTCGCCTCCTCCTCCTCCTCCTCCTCCTCCTCCTCCTCCTCCGCAGCCCGCGGCGCGGCCGGCACGCCATCTCGCCCGCCGCCCCGGCGCCGCCGACACGCCCTTGGCGAGGCGCAGCTGCTGGCATGCCTCCCTAGGCAGGGGAACCTCCTCGGGTATTGCTGGAAGTGCCCCTGGCCCAAGGTACCCCCAGGGTTCTCGGGGCGGCCCAGGCGGCCTCCGGGGCACCCCTCACGAGGCCCAGAGTGCCCCATGGGACTCCAAAAATGAAGCGAAAAGCTGGGGGTATCTTGGGCCAGGGGCACTTCTAGCAACACCCGAGGAATGCCTCCCGATGCAG